TTTCTCACAATACCGCTCTAAGTCATACTAGGTGATGATGAAACATCGCTTAAGATATTTTAGCCAGCGTGGAGTAACTTCCACGCTTTACTTGATCCATGCTCTAGAGCAAACTTCTCACGCTTTCCTTTTAGGGATCGTGGAGGATACGTAGGACTACTGACCACGCACCTACTCTTATCACACTTTAAGGTCTCCCGCGGGAGACCAGATATACGATCCCTTGATGATATCTCTCGTCCGTTGTATTAGTTTTCATAGCTTTCTTAATCTTCTCATAACTTTCATCTCTCCAAACAACAAAACACTCGAAAGATCTTTACAACTGAGTTTTTAGCGTAGTGCATTTTTGTTAACAAACACAAACACTTTCAGCACCCTCAATCCTATTTCCTCACCTGAGATGGCTCAAGGAAAACATGCGTTCAGCAACTTCGGAAAAACAGTGCGTGACAAAACCATTCTTCACTCTCGTCGAAATGACGAAGTACCCGAGATCAACTGATTTAACTCGTCCATACCACCTTGTAAACGTCCGCAAGACAAGAGACCTCAAATCATCGTCTATGGTAGATTTAACAGCAAGGAAAAAGGAAACCAAAACCCGTTACACTCCATTGCTTACTGGATACAGGAGCATCGGGAACTTATTAATGACTCAAACTCATGCTAAGAATTACGCATGAAGGATCTTGGGGGCGTCAAACATGTGGACTACACCCTGAGGAGAATTTAAACACAGCACGAAGTGCAAATGTGTGCATTCATGATTCCTGAATCCACGATGAAAGAATTATCGAATGGGATTGTACACGTCACCAAGAGCCTTGGGGTGTATGATATGATCATAGGTCGAGAATTTTCTCCGACTTAGATTCAAGTTCGATTTCACTCCCATTGTCAGTGGAAGTGGACGGCATATCTATTCCTATGAAGATACGAAACACCAATGAAGAGAGAATTTCTTCTTCCTGATCCTACTGCCTTGACGACAGTGCGAATCGTCTCAAGAAGATTCGTGATGCGAAATACGAACAAGCGGACGACCCTGTCTCAAATGACTATTCGCGAGAGACTCAGTCATGAGTCGAACTCAAACCCTATCTAGGATCGAGTCGCGAATAAGGCTAAGAGCCGTGTATTGCATCAGCAACAGCCCTTTCATCTCCTTCAAACATATTAACCAAAGAAGACAAGACAATGGCAAGATCGTTCCATTCACCACAAGGGAACGGCCCATTGATCCAAACAATCCAACCAGTTTGAATACAAACGCCAATCTCATACCTAAGTCCAGGTCCATTGAATTTCTTGGTATACCAACCAGTAGAGAAAGGGCCAAATTCACGGATGCGAAAGTCAGTACCAGCAACTGTTATTTTACATCTACTGCCATTGTCATTCATCAACCTATTCTCCCATCTGATCTAGGGCAGGAGCAGCAGAGGTGGAGTGCAGCATGAACATGGTGAGGTTCTTGTATTTGTGAAGGCGGCGATGGAGAAAAGCAAAAGCTTGGTCATCACGTACCAAATCCAAACTAGCCGGCTTTTCCACAAACACCCATACCCAATGCCGGATTGTCTTCTCATCCTTCATGAAAATCATTGCCAGTACTTCGGTAACAGTGTAAGTGCGCAAGAACATAAGTGTTGCCAGAAAATAAGTCACCCAACCAATATTGCTCAAAGGATCCATGTCATCCATCATGTTCCACAGCTCGACAGCTAGTTCAGGATGAACACCAAAGCAACCTCGAAATGTCCGATTGTACCTGTATGTCTCATGGTTCACAGCACCCGCTGTAAGGCCTTGATAGTTTGAAGCTGTACGGATAATGGTGGAAGGTGTTATCTGCATGTTTGGATTGCTGCTTCTCGGAATAGAGAAGGTTAAATTTGTGAGTGCGGAAGAGAAGAAGCAAAATCAATCAATAGAAAAGAGCATCTTGAATAACAGGCAAAAAGTGCATCCCGGTATACAGTACTGTACAGCAGTGATAGCTGCAGATGTTCAGCAGTGACCTAGTAAGACCAAAAAAGACGCCATGGTTTACATTAACCATTGAAAAAAGATGCTTGAAGAGCGGTAGCTTCACCATTGTCATGTTAAAATGACTGCACAGAGAAAGATGTATTTGATAAGATTCATTTGTGGGCTCGGAGATGTTTTGAGCTGTCAGTTGAGTGAATCATACACAGCTTAAGAGAGAACCACCGGACGTTTGGTAATTATACCTTATATCATTTTCAAATTAGTTTGACTTTTCTCTCACAATTTATACAAAAAACAGAAGGCAAGCTATGGGTTGGCAATGCCGGCATTATCAAAGGCATGATATTTGCGTGTCAAAGGCATGATATTTGCGTGGTACGACGGATAGATGAAGCTGAAGAGCACGATATGTCTAGCTGCAAGGTTTTTCATTGTGTCTAGAATACCATCCATCTTGAAGTATACTACTACGGTCTAGTGTCAATATTCAGAGCTGCTTGAAACCATGGTATCTTAGAACTATCACACCATAAACTAGCGTTCCATGACGTTCTAGACTACTGAAAATGAATATTGACCCACCGATACAGAAAGCTACAAAAACACTTTCCTTTTTAACAGAAGGGGTACTCTTCTCTCTAATATTAGTACGGTAAGAAACCAGTTTAGTTGAACAGGCTAGGTCTTTGTAGCTATTCATATTGCCCATTGAACTTTGGGTTTTGAAGAACCGGGCGTTCTGTGATGGCGTATCACACCCATAGCACACCAGGATAAATTGAAAAGAAAAAGTTTCAGCACCAATTGATTTTGGATGTGCAGAAACCGTTGAGTAGGAGTCAGCCAAGCTTTCTGTAACGGCTCGGCACATGCACAAACAGGAGCTCAATCCCGAACCAGTAGGATGACCATGTGTGCCAGGTAAAGGTCATATATATTCCAAGCATCTAACTGTTCACACATACTCCGAATTGTTAATCCCGTAAGTAGGAATGGAAAGTTTCAGCCAAGATCAATCTAATGGAACATAGGCACAACCAGTTAAATTCCACCGCAACTAGTAAATTTGGCAATGATGACCTCCAACAAAGCCCTTCCGGTCTTCTCACAAATCCAAACCAACAACAATTGGCAAAGGCAATAAAGAAAAAGGAACTCACAATGGCTAAGACAGTTGCTAGAAAGGCTCCGGACACAGTAAAGCACATCTTCCGGCAAGACAGCAAGGAGTTCAAGTTTCTCTTAAAGCTTTTTAAAACTGGCAAGATTGGAGATTTACAACCAGCTGCTGTTCGGGCCATGTTTCCAGATCAATTTGGGAAGTTTACGTCCAATCAATTCCGGCCGCAATTTAATAAGGCCAAAGCTCTATGTGGTCAATCCGGTATGTGCTATTCAATTGCATGCCATGCATGCCATGCATGCAAAAAAATGGCACGCCTTGTTGTTACTAACATCAGCTACTACTACTCTCTTTGTTGTAGTTGCTCCAGCTCCAGCGGAAGACAATGATAATGATGAGTTCAACTCTCTTGTGGAAAATGTCATGCCTCCAGCTTGTCATGTGTCACCAGTGCCATCTTCCAATGTGGCTAACGTAGCTTCTTTCAGTGGAAGCAATGACAATGACAGTGCACTGGAGGATTCTCCTCAATTTGATCATACTGTTTGGGTATTCAAAAAACTTGTCAAACAGTGGGAGAATGAACATGGCATTCGCATGGCTACCATCATTTTCTGGTTGAGCATTGGTACTACTCCCAAGGATGTGGAGACTGCTATTAATACCAGTGGGCAGAAGCTATCTATCCGTGAGAAGTGGTATTGTGATTTGCTTGATGTGGCTGAATTCTATGAGCTATACCAACAATACACACAGGAACCCATTGGGGATACCAATGTCCGCAGCCATGCCATGAAACAGCATGTTCGATCCCTTGTTGATATCAAAGGCAAGCTCTACTCTCTCTACACCATTGCACTACGCTAAAAGCTAGTGTAAAGATCTTTCGAGTGTTTTGTGTTTGAGAGAATGAAAGTTATG